GGTGGCGGCGGCGGGCTTTGCGTGGCGCCGTGCTGAGGAGGCGCGGGAGAAGCGGGGAGAGAGCGCAGGACTGTCTCGTTGGGGTCCCTCTCCCCGCACCGCTGCCGTCGTTGTGGCTTGGGTTTTGGTTTTGACTTGTTGTGTTGTTTGTTTTCGCGGCGTGGTGCGGCGTGCGTGGATGTGGCGGGCTTTTGTTTGTTTTTGTTTTTTGTTTTTCCTCGCCGCGTTGTTTTCCACGTTTTCCCTGAGAGTCATTGTGCTGCGGGAGAAGAGGAGGGAGGGGAGAAGGGCGTTGCACTGCTGCTGCGGGGAGGGAACTGTGGCGCACGTGTGTGGGAGTCTGCTGGTTCTCTGCGTTGGGCGTCGCAGGAGCGGAGGAGGAGGCGAGGGCACGGGGGTGCGCCGGAGGTGCGAAACGACGGCGGACGCTCCTGCGGTACTCTGCGAGACGTTCTTTGGGGCCTGCGCCCCCCACGCAGCGGGCGGTGTGCGTCAGCGCGGGGAGGGCAGCCGTGCCTGCGCTGCTCACTCGCTGGGCGCTGGTGTGCCCATGCAGCCGCAGCGAGCAACGCGGAGCACGCAGATTTGTTTGTTTTTGTTTGCCTGATGTCTCTGTGGGGTGGGGCCGTCTTGGCGTGGCACCTCTCTTTCCCTCACTTTGTCTCCACCCCGCGAACACAGACAGCAGTAGAAAAAAACACGCACACATCGTTCCACGCAGCGGGTATTTGATGGCGGCCGAAGTTGGAATGCGGGCTCTCTCCGCGGTGAGGACTGTCGTCCGGTGGATGGCGCTGCTGCTGCTGCTGCAGTGCCTGGGCAGCCACCCCTCCTTCACCGCGGCGGGAGAATACAAACATGTGGTCGTTAAAATCAAGTATTATTTCAGCTTTCCCCATTCGGAGTTTCGTGAAAACTATGAAGGTTGGGCGAATTACGTCATTTCTTCCAATATCTGTCAAATAAATGGAGGCCTTCTTACTGCGGATCAAACACCTGCTGCGCATCAGTCCATCACGGATTACTTGAGACAGGTGAGAGGCATTGCCGATGATCAGGTATTCACGTACATGGGCGGTGACGCCTACTACAGCTACTATTGGGAGAAGGACCCTGACAAGATGTGTAATCCAGCATATGGTAACACACTCTTGAACTGCATTTTTGAGTGGAATCAGGGGTTGTTTGAGGACACGAGTGCGAAGGTGAAACTACGTGGTGTTCCGTTTTTCAGAGGTTCACTGCACTCCATCCCTGGCGCAGGCCCACTGAACGGGTACGCCGATTACTGGCACGAAGGTTACCCTGCCAACGGTCAATTGTTTTTAATATCTCGCCTGGATACGAAGAAGAAAAGGGCGACGACAACGTGGTACGACGGGAGTATCTCCGCCCAAATCAACGTTGATACGCCTAATGAGGCATTTGGCATTGTATGTGAGGTGCAAGACGAAATCATTACGACGACGACGGAGGCCCCGCCCACCACTACTGCGACGACGGAGGCCCTGCCCACCACTACTGCGACGACGGAGACCCTGCCCACCACGACTACGACGACGGAGACCCCGCCCACCACTACTACGATGGCGGAGGCCCCGCCCACCACGACTACGACGACGGAGGCCCCGCCCACCACGACTACGATGGCGGAGACCCCGACCACCACTACTGCGACGACGGAGACCCCGACCACCACTACTACGATGGCGGAGACCCCGACTACCACTACTGCGACGTCAGAACCGGAGGTGGTAGTTTCGTGGGTGCAGGATCACTGGTACGCCATTCTTCTTGCTGTATTGTTGCCGCTTCTCTCTGCGATTGTACTAATTGTCGTTATCATCTTCTGCTGTTGCTGCCGTCGTACCGATGATGAATCCACGAGGGTAGCGTCCATGGAATTGCGGGAGGTGAAGGGCAATGTGTATGGGACCCAACAGAGGCAGAGCGACGGTGTGAGTGTGTCTGAGGGCCCCGTTGTTCCCACGTGTCCTCCCTGTGAGCAGCAGCATGTGGTGAAGCGGAATTGCTGGATGCCACCTTCGCCACGTGCAGCACCTGTTGAGTCTTCGCCATCCCTACCACCCGCATAAGATGCTTCCCAGTCGTCGAGGCTGTCGAGAAACCATAGTTGCGAAAGCATTGCATCGGGCACATTTGCAGGTGGGGATTTTTCAAGGGGCGAGGGGATTGCTGAAGACGCAGATGATGCCTCTGTTGGGAACACGAGGAGGGTACGGTGCGGTGTGACCTCCAGAAACGTGGTGCATCGGGATGATCTGGAGACAATGGAGTCACGATAGGCACGCGCATTGTGGGTTTTCATTGGGGCAGGGATGCAGGCGGCGCGTGGCTTGTGCAGCAATGCTGCGGTGCCGAGTAGTAGATGTGTGTTTACGTGGGGTTGGATGAAGTTTAGTTCGTAAAAATAGCATGTTTTGTGTGTGTGGCCATCAGTCCTGGCGCAATCAGTGGGATACGACAAATGAATGTGGGTGTTGCGAGAGCTGGTGCGGGTGCGCAGTGCGCAGTGCGCGTTGAGGTTTCGGTTTGGTTTTTGTTTCTCTGTTGGGTGACTGCGTGGTCCCCGGGTCGGCTCTCCACGCGGCAGACGGTGCGAGGCGGAAGCGGGTGGAGTTGCTGCAAGAGCGGAGTCCGGTGGACTGGCGTCATTGCCTGCGCCGCCGCTGTGTTTACCGTCCACGATGCCCTTNTGTTGTGTCTTTCCGTGTATCAATG